CTATGAGGAAAGGTTAAGGCGCTTAGGGCTCTTTAGCTTGGAGAAACGACGACTGAGGGGTGACATGATTGAGGTTTATAAGATTATGCATGGGAAAGAGCAGGTAGAGAAAGAGGTACTTTTCTCCCTTTCTCACAATACAAGAACTCGTGGGCACTCCATAAAATTGTTGAGCGGTCAGGTTGTTGTTGTTCAGTCGCACAGCCGAATCTGACTCTTCGCGACCCCATGGACCAGCTCCCGCCAGGCCCTCCTGTCTTCCGCTGTCCTCTGAAGTTGGCTCAATTTTATGTTCGTTGCGTCGATGACACTGTCCAACCATCTCATCCTTTGCCGTCCCCGTCTTCTTTGACCTTCAATCTTTCCCAGCATCAGGGTCTTCTCCAGTGAGTGCTCCCTTCTCATTTGGTGGCCAAAGTATTTGAGCTTCAGTTTCATTATCTGGCCTTCCAGGGAACAGTCAGGGTTGATTTCGGGTTAGAACAGATAAAAGGAAGTACTTCTTCACCCAAAGAGTGATTAACACTTGGAATTCACTGCTACAGGAAGTGGTGGCGGCTACAAGCATGGACGGCTTCAAAAGGGAATTAGATAAGCATATGGAGCAGAGGTCCATCAGTGGCTATTAGCCACAAGGTATAGATAGGGGCTCTGGGGCAAGTGATGCTCTGTCATCTTGGTGCTTGGGGGGGGGTCAACAGTAAGAGGGCTTCTAATGTCCTGGCCCCACTGGTGGACCTTCTGATGGCACTGGTATTTCTGGCCACTGTGTGATACAGTGTTGGATTGGATGGGCCTTTTGCAAAGTATAATTTCTTTGCTATCTCCTCTTCCAATAAACAATTCATCTGATGTTGTAACATTTTTAGTCTTCTTTTTGCTCCGTCATTATTTATTTTAGACATCATAGTATTCTCTTGTAAATTTATTTGTTTTTTCAGGTTCTCAAACCTTTGTTTCCTTTGCCTATTTACTTTTACTGCTTCTTGAATTAATAATCCCCTAGAAAAATTCTAGGGGATTTTCTAGAGCTCCAAACAATTGATGCGGATGACTCTCGGTGCAACCAGGTTCCTTTCGCAGTTAAGACTCCTGCACTGGGCTCCCCAACCCCAGAGGGAGACATTGGTCAATAGATGAACCTCCGGAACCGGATGCCAAAAGGGCATGCTGCCAAGGAGATGCGTTGGGTTCGACCACCATCGTAGTGTGAGAAGGACATCCAAAAGGATATGTAGGTGGTACAGAGGATGGTGTTGAAGATTGAAGGAGTGAAGGAACCAGAGTTGTAGGGGCCGTATATGAAGTTGGGCATAAGGAACTACAACTACTGTTGAGGCAAAAAGTCCCAAAAGTTTCATGATGGATCAAGCTGTTTGTATAGGATGCTTGAGGAAGGTGGAAGCTAGAGAGACAATGGATCCTGCTCGGGATGCTGGAAGAAATGGCATCTCCTGCTTGGTATCGAGGCAGGCCCAGAGGAATTGAATAGACTAGGCGGGTCCCAAGACGGACTTTGGGCGATTGACACAGAGACCCAAGTTGTGAAGAGCTAGTGTGCTGTGGAGATCCTCGAGGAGTTGAGCTCTGGATGGGGCCACCAGAAGCCAGACACAGGACAATTCCCCTCTTGTGAAGCTCCACAGCCACAACAGCCATCGTTTTGGTAAAGACATGAGGAGCTGTGCAGAGACCAAAAGGAAGAACTCTGTACTGGTAGTGTTCTGTACTGATGGCAAAGTGGAGAAACTGTTGATGCTGTGGCTGAATGGTAATGTGGAAATATGCATCCTGTAGACGATGGATGCTACTAGCTAGCTGTTCTTTGGGAGGAGAGGGTGATCATATGGAACTTCTTGCAGTGAATGAAGAGGTTCAGTTTGCGAAGATCCATTATTGCCTGGACGCCACCATCCTTTTTGGAGACTGTGAAGTATTTGGAGTAGAACCCTAGATGTCTTTTGTGGGGCAAATGAAGAATGAGAAGTTGCTGAGGACATGGTAGGGCGAAGCGTAGCCTCAAGAAGTATCGCCTTTAGACGAGCAGCTCAGTTACGTCGGGCCTGCTTGGTAAATTTTGCACAATGGGGGCAACCTTCTATGCAGTGAAGTTCCCCAAGGCAGAGAAAACACAAATCGTGTCTGTTGTTAGAAGGGAGCTTAGCAGGGCAGTGGTGACAAACTTTGAAAAATAGCGTACGGCCCATACACACACCTCCCCAACCAGGGAAAAGGGAGGAGGGGGCGGAACAAAAGGAAAGGAAAAGCTGACAGGAAGCTTTCTTCTTCTTTTTAAGCCGAAGATAGTCCAAAAACGAAGAAGAAAGCAGAAAATGAGGAACAAGGGAATCCAGGGGAAAACTTAGCTGAGGTGAACGAAGAGTGAGGCAGGAGAGGTGTGAATGCAAGGGCAGTCGAAGAAGTGGAAGGCGGCTCTCTACCTTGCTCCAGGCACGCGCAGTGTGTGCCTGCTCCCCAGAGTGGGAAGAGAGCCCGCCAAAACGATTCTGAGGCAAGCTCTGGAAGTTTCTCCAGTGAGGTCGTGTGCAGGTGCCCAACCTGTGTGTGGGGCTGCATAGAGACCATGACGAAGATCCTACGCTTCTTCATCCACACACAAGAACAGAGAGGCCTTTCCCCACTGCCAGAGCAACAGAACCATTCCTCCTCACCTGCTCTAAGAACTGCTGCTAGACTGGTCCTCATCTTCCCAGTAACCCTCCTCTCTGCTTCCACCACTATAAGTCTGTTCCCCTTTCCCCCCAGCTAAAGTGTCTTGCACCAGTGCCTCGCCACAGGGCCCACCTCCATATACCCCTGCCAGTCTGAGGTACTTCACCATCTTATGTGCAACACTGAAACAGAAAACATCTTCCTTCATACTTCTTTCAGCCAGCCTGCCAAGCCCTGAAGGTGATTACCTCGTATGCATTTACTTTCCATAATGGGATCCTGCTACCTTCCTTCCCACATTTCTGGTTTGTTCCTTCCCAACTGCAAATTTCAGGACACAAATCTCCCCATAGCCACATACCAGAAGTCTGCATGGACACATGAAGCTCCCCTATACTGAATCAGACCACTGGGCCATCGAGACCAGCACTGTCTCCTCAAACTGGCAGCAGCATTCCAAGGTTTCAGGTAGAGATCATTAACTGCCACTTGAACCTTTTAACTGGAGACGCTGGGGACTGAAACTGGGACCTTCTGCATGCCAAGCAGATGCTCTACCACGAAGCCAGGGCCCCTCCCCCTCTGAAGCACTAATATAGCATGGAGAAAGTTACTCTGCCCTTGCTTCCCTACGTTTCTGATCAGTAAGCCAGGGCACAATAAAAACTCAACTTGCCACATGCTGACTGGATGTAACAAATGAATTATTTTTAATGCACCAGATTAAGCAGGCAATGGGGATAAAGAGTCATGTGCAGCCACCCAATGGGCTGCTGCCAGTCATGTGTGGCCGCAGATGCATTAATATATTTGTTCACTTCTTCCTCAGCAGTTTCTTGGTCCTTCCTTGAATCTCTACCATGTCAAGCCTTCTAGCCATGCTCTTCCTTAGGCAGTACATGGAGCCTGTTGCCAAAAGGCTATCTGAGGCAAATGCAAAGTTTAAATGTCTCCCTCTTTGTTATGGTAGCACCATGGCACATTCATTCTATATGTAATATGTATTGGTTTATCCATAACATGCCTTCCTAGGCTGCAAATGGCTGAAAGAACGAACCAGAGACACCTAGTGACAGAAAGTGGAATTTAATATTCTAATCCACAACATCCATCCTGGAAAGGATGGGAGGAAGCCACACCTTCTAAAAGTAATTAAAGGGCAAAGAACTTTGTGTTCTTGTCCAAGAGTTGTTTTAATCTGATTCCAGGGTTGGGCTCTTTTTGTTACTCACCAGCTAGGCACTTCCCCAGTGCTCCAAAATGCCACGCAGGAAGAGAGCAACGGGTTATAATCAGTCAGCAGTTCTCAAAAACCTACCACTCAGTCTTCAAACAGCTACAGGTCGATGGCACTCTCCCCCGACCAGATCTCCCAATAATCAATTTTAACCCAATAATCAATTTTAATTCAAAGTGTCTCTAGCCACTTAGCTGGAAAACTTTCTAAACCACATGGCCTTTGTCAGGTTTAATGTTGTTGATGTAGATTCTACGCTGTTTTCTTTCTTTTCTTTTTTTTAGGCTTACAAGAAATTGAAGTATGGCCAGGACCTACAACTGCATGTAGGAAATCATTTACAACTTGCAAATTTTCAGTTTTTTAAAGTCAATACACGAGAGTAGGATCTTTTCCAGCTGTTCCTAACGTTGTTTATCTTTGACCAATAAGGATATGTGTTCATGTGAACACAAGCCCAAATGTCATAGGGTATTGCTCTTTCAAACTCCTTACCACATTGTTGTTCGCCTTGGTGGCATGTGCTTCCATCTGCTGCCAATACTTTTTAGATTCCTGCACAATATCTTCATGAGTCATTCCTGGAATGACAGAAGACACATGTTAAGAACTCCCAACCCTCTGCAATCTTTTAAGAGACATTTTAAAAGTTGTAATAATTGGAAATTCAGGTTAGCAACAGGTCCTCCCTCAATATGGCACATGATATCCCCCATCAATACAGCCATACCAAAATATCCTGTGTCTCTTTGCCCAGACTGCCAGTAACAAAGGGAGATGTGCTTGTGGATGCTTCCTGGAACCAAGACTCATCAACCTCTTCTACACGGAGTACCAAAAAATCCATGAAATAATACAGGATTTTGGATGATGTACACATATACAGAAGTAACAAAGCTTTCTTTGTTGGTGTGTGGGGATGTGTGTAAAAAAAACCCCAGTTTTAATCTCATGTGGAAGATCTCCCATTGGAAATAAGTCTTCCTCTTTATTAGTTGGTGAATGTTGGTGAGTTTCTGATTCCTCTACAGTAAGGGGTGAGGATGGGAGAGAAAACCTGATCACAGCTGTTGTGAGTTGAGTCTGGAAGGTGGCTACAAGCTGCTCATGAGGACATATCTACACTGCTTCTTTTTTGAATGGGGCTGTGGCAAAATAGAACAGTTCAGGAGGGAGCTTTTATAACGGAAACAGTATTGTAGTCTATCCCACTGGTTATTGTATGCAGTGCTTTAAAAAAAATGCCAATACTCATATACAAGGCTGCACCAATTTCCACTACCCCCCGCCCTGCAGATTCCCACTAGGCTGTTCCTGAGAGTCCACTCTCTCTTTCTCTGGCTAAGCAGGGCAAGCCAGTACAGGCGGATCAGGATGTGGAAGATCCCCTATGAAAGGTGCCGGTTCTCAGTACCATGGAATACTGTCACAAAAAAGTGATTGCATTGTTTTCTACTTTTGTAATTCCTTTTTTTGTGTATTATCTATGACATATCACATTTGATACCCTTTTTTGCACTGTTTCTAATTTCTGTGATCTTAGTCCTATTGCATTGTTTATTTGATGGCTCATGCTATTTATTGTACTGCTTCACACTGTGTATCCTGCCTTGAGTCTCAGCAAGAAAGGTGGGCTTAAAAGGGATACAACTAGCATTAACTGCCCTATCTCAGTGAAGCGGATTCCCACTGACAGTTCAGTGATTCAGAGACTGTACGAGGAAGCCTGCAAAAACTTTCTGCCATCCTCGGTTCCTTCTCTTTCTTGCCCACACATCAAGCTAGACGGAACACTCGCCAGAGTACTGTTGTAGCAGCCAGACTTTAAGCTCTATGAAGCTGTGAGCAAAGTGGCAGCTATCTTCACGCAAGCAGCCGTAGCGTACTTCATGCCGGCACACATCAAACTGAAAGTGCTCCTGGAACTGGCGGATCTTACAGTATTTCAGGGATGTGGAACGAACAATATGAACCAAACACCTACAGCAACGAGAGGAATGTTTACAAATAAACATCGCTTGCAAAATGTCAGCAGTACTCATATATATTGTGCTTCACCCAAGTATTCCAATTGTTTTTCATATCCATATTTTCTCAGACTCTGTCCTTACTTTATTTTAGAGCAATGGCAGATACCTAAAAATCAGAAACACATGGGCAAGAGTTTGACTGAAGTGGCACCCACACAGTTGTGCTGCTCTTAATCAGATCCAGACTAAATTTTCCACTCACACAAGACAATTCTGTCAGTAGAATACAACTTTCCTGCCTCCCATCTCTTGCTTCAGCCCCAAGCTCCCCCAAATGCTGTCTCTGGAGGAACAGGTTGAATGAGGGGCAAATCTAGGGTCTGAAGCAGGTGGGGGAATTGGTGAAAATTAATACATCTCTTTCTGTTAGCAGAAAAGATAACCTAGATGCAACCCACTGACTAGTGTGGTTAACAATGATCCAACCATGTGGGCACTACCTCCCCCAAGCAGCTTCCTAGACAGAAGGCTACTCACATGGCTCTGATTTTCATCAGCTATTACTCTGCTATAACACCGTGTGAATCATCAGTAGAACTTTACAACAACCCTATAAGATATCACTTCATATTACAGATTGCAACACAGGAGATGAAGTCAAGAGATCCTCTCTTAATGCGACCCAGTGAGTTTGTGGCTCAGCTGACATTTGAAGTAGGGCCACTCTGTACATAGCACAGTTAAATTATCAATGCATTTAATCACAAAAGCTCCAGGTCAGTAATGATTCATCCAAAGAGTGATTAACACATGGAATTCACTGCCACAGGAGGTGGCGGCAGCTACGAGCATGGACGGCTTCAAGAGGGAATTAGATAAGCATATGGAGCAGAGGTCCATCAGTGGCTATGGGCCACAAGGTACAGATAGGAACTCTCAGTCTGGGGCAAGTGATGCACTGTATTCCTGGTGCTTGGAGGGGGCAACAGTGGGAGGGCTCCTAGTGTCCTGGTCCCACTGCTGGACCTCCTGATGGCACCTGGTATTTTTGGCAACTGTGTGACAGAGTGTTGGACTGGATGGGCCATTGGTCTGATCTTATGTTCTTATAAAGAGGAAGAAACAAGGGACTACATAAGCAGCAGCCTTGCACTGAGCTAAACCTTGCCAACAAACAATGAAAGGCAGAAGTTTCTCATCACCCTGCTATTAGAGAACCTTTCAGCTGATAATGCCAGGGAGTGCATCTGCTCTACAGGTTATTTACTGTAGGCCAATGAAAACAAACACAGACCATGAAGGATAACATAAAGCAAACCTGGCTCACTTGTTATCATAAAAGCTGTGTTTTGCAGCAAGATTGGAGCACACTGCTGGAGAGTCCTTGGTCCCTTTGCTGATTATCCGGGGTTTGCTGTCAAAGCAGATCTACAAAACACAAAAGGACAAGATGATCAGTTCCTTAACACCCCTACAAATGATTACTTTGAATAGTTTCTAGAACAGCTTTAGCATGTTCCACTCAACATGTCTATGGGAACATAAGCACATAAGAAGATCCATACTAGATCAGACCAAAGGCCCATCTAGCCCAGCATTCTGATCACACAGTGGCCAACCAGTTACCCCTAGGAAGCCCACAAACAGGAGCTCAGGTGTCCCAGGATAAATTATTGCAATCTTCCCACTAGTGGTTCTTGTTGGGTGTTACAGGTTAAAACACTTCAGTATTTACAGGGTTAATGATGTTTGTTAAGTCACATGTTTGTTTGTAACCAATCTGTTTAGACAATAGGATGCCCGGGAACTTTGGAGCTAGTTTGCTACTCTGATTGGAAACCAAGGTGTCAAGTATCAGCATTTTATGGCTTCTCTTCCCGTTGTTTGTTCTGACTGAGAAGGAGACGCCATTCGGCTCTTCCTGTTTTACCTTTTAGCTCCAAGGATGTAGCCATATTAGCTCTTTGTTATTTTATATCCTGTGTACCTTTTTCCCATGTTAGGTTTATAGTAAACTTTTATATTTTAATACACACCATGGACTCAGTCTCTTAATACTCTGCTGACTAACTTGACTCTTAGAGAGACCAGGATCTTTCTCCTCCTCAACTGCAAATCTGTTAGACTGATCTATATACACAACAGAAAGAGGGGTATATAAATTGGCCTGATGGATTTACATCCAAATGTGTCTGAAGAAGTGAGCTTGGACTCATGAAAGTTTATGCTGGAACAGATTTTGTTAGTCTTTAAAATGCCACTGGATTCCTGTTTTATTCTGCTGCCAGACCAAAGCTGGAACTGCGCACAGGAGAAAGTTGGGAATGGCTTTCTTTTATGTTCCTCAACACTATAGACTGCTTCTGAAGACTGAACAGGGGCAGCCAGGAAATGTGCAGCAATTGTATACATCCTGCAGATCCTTGAAAGGAACACACTGAGAGAGAGAAGATTTTATTGTATTTAGCCATAGGCCATTACAAACCACAGACAGAGAAGAGCACAATAAAACACAAAAATTGTATAAAATAAGATACAGTCCAACATTATAAATCCATAAAACCGAGGTTATGAACAGTTAAAACCGAGGTTATGAACAGTTAAAACCGAGGTTATGAACAGTTAATTAATTCACAACATACCCACTAAAATCAGTATTAGCTAGGAGCAGCGTTGGCCCGTATTTTCCTTGCAGCCAAGGCAAATAAAGCCATTCTATGGGATACATCAGCATTGGCATCGGCTAGCAAAAATATAATCTTCTCTGGGACTGAATAAAAGCTTAAAACTGATAAAATACCAGATAAAAATTTTGACCTAGGCTGGGAGTACAATGAGCAATTAAAAATGTAATGGGAGAGATCCTCAACAGCAGAAGAGCCACAACGCTGTGCCTTGGGTGTTCTATTGTAACGGCCGACCAACACGGCCGTAGGCATTGATTCAAAGCGCAAAGATGTAAAAGCTGCTCTAAGGTTATGATTATCTATATTAACCAGATAAGGTGATCTAAAATGATCATTCTTAAATGATTTAAACCAGGTAGCAGACTGTGTTTTTAAAATGAAGTGTCTATCTAGCAGAGCATCATGCTTAAATACCCATTCTCTGAGATCTAAGTTATTTGTTGAGGAGCTAAGGAGGTCGTCAGGAATGGAATATCTTAGTAGTAGGTTATTGAGGAAGCAAGAACGATCTAAGTCTTTAGATAGCATTGAATTAAAGGCCAGTTGGCTGAACGAATCAGTGCTAGCAGCTCTGATTTTCTTCCAAGATTTTAGAATCGCAAGATACACCCTCGCCCTTAGAGAAGGCAGACCAGTTTCTGCTCTCATCAGGGCAACTGGTGTTCCCTTAGGAAGAGCCAGGATGCGCCTTAAAAACTGATTTTGGATTGTTTCAATACTAGTGAGTATATCCTCTTTCCAACCCCAAACCTCGGCCCCATACAAGAGGTGGGGAATGACCTTACTTTTAAATAATTTTATAACAGGATCAATAAGAAAACCTCCCTTGGTATAATAGAACTTCAAAATGGATCCCACAATCCTCGTCGCAGATGCTTTTACTATGGCTATATGAGCGTTCCAGTTCAGATTCTCTCTAAATGTAATCCCTAAATACTTAAAGGTACTACTCTGATTTATTGAATTGCCAAGAATGCTCCAGGAGGAAATTTGAGCTCTTTTTCTAAAGACCATCACTTTGGTTTTATCAAAGTTAATGTTAAGGGTCTCTTCCTTACAGTACATTCCTAATTGCTGCAATAATCTTCTCATCCCGATTTTTGTAAGTGATATTAGGGCCATATCATCCGCATAAAGTAAAATTGAAATTTTATGCTTCCCAAGGGTAGGTGGGAAGAATTGCGGACCTGATAGCCTGTCAACAATTTTGTTTATATACAAGTTAAACAATAAAGGGGCCAGCACACACCCCTGTTTCACTCCTTTATGGATTGGAATTTTGTTAGTTAGAGACCCCGATGTTCCCACTCTAATCTGGGCACTAATATCTGTGTGTAGTTCACGTAATAAGAATAACAACCGCTTATCAATATTCAGATCTGCCAATTTTTGCCAAAGGCTATTCCTATCGATGGAATCAAACGCCGCAGCCAAGTCTACAAATGTTACGTATAAAGACTTAGTGGGACCATTTAAGCTTGCATAAGCCAGCTGGTGAAGAGTAAGGCAGTGATCAATTGTAGAAAGACCTTTCCTAAACCCTGCTTTGTAGTAGACTGCAATCCCAGAGGGTTGCCATTAAAAAAACTGCAATCAATTAAAAGTGTACCCTTTTGATCTTTTACCTTGAGTCCAATAATGTCTAAGGCAAGCATCACACTGGACTAAGACAGACCAGAATCCTAAGTACACAGTTGGAATGGACAAGTAAAGGAATGCAGTGGAAAGACATCTTATGCACCTTCTGCGTACCTCACAGAGAAAAGTGAATATGCCCTGGTGTTCCTTCAAGATCTTGGCAATGGTCAGACTGCCCCGCTTGACCCCACCCAGGGGGTCAAAGAGGAGATCACGATTGAGGGTTCCCTTCCGTTCCTCTGTCCACACGTCGATCTCCTCCTGGTGGTACGCGAAGGTGCAGTTATCCCCGTACTTACAGTCCTGCTTGTTAAGCATATCTACAAAGCAACAAACATCACACCACCACACAAGGAGTGGAGGCGGGGATCAGAAACAAAGCTCTCTTGCTATCCCTCACTCTGTTTCCTTCTCTCTCCCACCACCCTGAGCTTCAAAGGCAATTAAAAAGCTCTTCATCTTGACTTAGCTATTCATCTTTTATCCATGACCAGTTTTAGTCAGATTTGTCTGGCTAAGCAAGACCAGACCAAATCAGAGGCATAAAAACTTTGGTATATTTGATTTGTTGACAGCCATTTGACCATAGCTGGTCCCCAAGAACAGAGCAACATAATATAAGAGACCATTAAGGACTTTAAAGGTGAAAAACAGTACCTTCCATTGGGCCTGGAAACAAACTGGGTCAGCGTAGGTGATGCAGTGCTGGTTTAAAATATCACAGCAGCACATTCCAGTAATGCCCCTAGCTGCCACATTTTGTACAAACGATAGTTTCTGAACACTGTTCAAGGGCAGTACCAGGTAGTGCTGCGGTAGTCAAGCCTCAATGCTTCAAAGGTTGTTGTCCCTCCAAAGGGGCACAGTTGGTGAAGAAGACTCTGCTGGCAAAAGGAGTTCGGGCATCTTTGCACAATTGCATATGCAACAACCATGGTGAGTTCAAAAGTACTTCCAAGCACCTACCCAATCTTTCAGGGGGAAAGTGACACTATTCAGAATGACCTGAACTTCCTGGATCAGTGTTTGTCCTTATCCACAGCACTTCCATCTTGTCCAGATAAAGATTTAATTTATTAAATCCTAATCCAATCCATGACCAAATCCAGACATCAGTTTAATGCTTCTACCATCTCCCTGAATTATGATGGAAAGGAGAGATACAGTTATGCATCAGCAGCATATTGACAACTTACTTCAATTCTCTGCCCTCTCCCAGTGGCATCATGTAAATGTTAAAGTGTATCAGGGAGGCGACTGAGCCCTGTGGCATCCCACTAATAACCATGGGGCTAAATAACAGTCCCTGTGTGCCACCTACTGGTACCTACTTTCCAGGAAGGAATGGAACCAATGAAGCTCAGAGTCTCCTAGACCTGTCCCTTTCAGGCATCCCAGAAGGAGTCTTGATCCTCAAAGGCCACTCAGAGGTCCAGAAGGATTAGCAGGGATACATTTATCCTGTTGGTCAACTGACACAGACCCTCTAACAGGGTGACAACCCATAAACTGCAGTTGGTTGAGCATGCAGCAACCCAATTATCATCAGGGACTAGCCAACAGGAATATATTTCTCCCAACATTGGCTGTCAAGTTTGTTTCCAAGTCCAATTCAAAGTACTGGTTATGACCTTCAAAGCCCTTTATGGCCTTGGTCTGCGTCCTCCCATATGTCCCTTTATGGCCCCAGATACTTGCCTCAGGCCACCACCTACCCACTGCACACACACACCCCACATAAGGTAGCCCGCCTGTTATCAACCGGAATCCATGCCTTTTCCATTGCAGTTCCCACAGCCCCCCCCCCCTTTGCGGAACAGGCCCCCTAAGGAGGTGAGGGGAATGCCATCTAGAAATCTTCAGGAGGTTCTGCAAGGACATTTTATTTGCCAGTGGGTTTAATGGGGCATAAACTGCAGGCATCTTTTGGGGGAAGGGGTTTGGGTTTATTTTTTAATTTGATTGGTTTTAAATTGTAAAGTTTTAACTGTAACTTGTAAGTCACCTTGAACCATGAGTGAAGGTGGGATATAAATACTTTAGTGACTAAATAATAATACAATAGGGATATTTAGGTCTGTGGAAAGAGGATTGCATTTTATGCTTATTTTATTTTTATGTAAAAGTTTTTATGCCACCTTTCTGGCCAAACTGGGTCTTCTCCAAGGTGGCAGAACATCAAACATTTAAACATTTAAAATAAAATATATATATGACAATTAAATAAAAACCTATAACACACATAAACAGACATATTTGATTCTCCTGTGCTCAGAAATTCTGACATACGAGTTCTTTTTACTTAAACTGGAGTACAAGCGTTGTTATCTGGGACTCAAGGGGGATGGGTATTGCAGGTTAGTCAAATGTGTCGGTTAATAGAGCTTTACTCTGATGGCTACAAAATTCTTCCCCGTACGTAAAAATGAAGCAGACAATTAAAATAGTGGCCTCAGAACAGAGAGGAAAGGGGACTGGCAAACATCTCGACTCCTCCCTAACATCATTCGAGAGAAGCAGCCCCCTTGAGATGGCGGGGGAACAATGCTTTTATCTTGCCTCGTGAGCAGCCTTCATAGCTCATATGAGGCTAGGTCATCTGCCACCCAGACAGTCCCACTGCACTCTACAGTGCCCTAAAGGGTGCCAGGTTTACATCTACCCTTGCTGCCAGTTGCAGCACTGGCAAAATTACCAGCTCACTGTTTATCCTCAGCAGGAGCTTTGGCACCAAGTGAGGGAGCGGATCAGTGGCAGAGAGTCAGGCAGGCCATCCTCTCCCCAACGACTAGTAAGTTCAGGGATGGTCCTTCGGACCACAGTCATACTGTTGGCTGCATGTTTACAAACTGGACTTACACAGAAAGATGAGAGTTACTCAAGTTGTCTGGATAACAAAGTGCCAGATCACACAGCTTTTACTGAATTTGGTCCTTGCACAGATTCTGACCACAGTTCGAGTAAAAGGCAAGGAATACTTGCTTAGCTCTGACAATACTTTTAGTGTGAGATTTCTAAGGTGTTCCTACACCCATGTTGGACGGGGGTCAAATCTGTTGCTTAAATCTGGAGCCGTCTAGCATTCTAGATTTCTTCTATGAGTGCCACTGAAAAAAACAGATTTAACTGAAATTGACACACTCCCAGGTGGAAAACAGTTTAAGAGACATATACTAAACTTGCTCAAGAGTACAAAAGCTAATTTATAGGAACTGATTCTATCAGGGGCATTTATTAATACTTTGAGAGATCCTCTGGCAGTTCTCAGGAAAAGTTCTCTGGTGTTATGCTCTGAAACCCCTGGTATCAAAGCATCTGGTCAGGAACCTGCAGGTCTCTCAGAAGATCTGACTAATTGGGAGAAACCCACTGTTAACTCTGAGTCTACACATTGCCTTAAATTTAATAAGGATGTTAACTTGATACAAACAGAAAAGCAATTATCAGTGATTCAATGAAGGAGACAGGACCTCTTTTTCACAATCAAAGAACTAACACAGATGTATGTGGATGTTTCAAGTCAAACACAGGTCTTTCACAAGTATTTCCATGCCTTTTCAAAGGCACTTCCATTCTTCTCAAAGAATTCGTCCTCTCTTAACAGTTACTTTCAAACTTTTTAGATTCCCCTGCATATCTGTGACAATTGTGGGGAGTGTTCCAGCAAATAAACAATCCACACAGGGTTTTAGATAGCCCTACTGGGCCTCACCATCACCCCTCATGAGCCAAGAGTGCAACCTACAACACAGCCAACAATCTTTTGAAGCCACATATTGTGGAGGGGGGAGGGAAATAATCTTTAAAGGAAGCTTAAAAGGTAAAGGTAAAGGTTCCCTTGCTCGAAAGCCAGTCGAATCCGACTCTAGGGTTGTGGTGCTCATCTCCGTTTCAAAGCCAAAGAGCCAGCGCTGTCCGAAGACGTTTCCGTGGTCATGTGGCCGGCTTGACTAAACACCAAGGCGCACGGAACGCTGTTACCTTCCCACCGAAGTGGTACCTATTTATCTACTTGCAATTTCTTGCTTTCGAACTGCTAGGTTGGCAGGAGCTGGAACTAGAGACAGGAGCTCACCCTGTCTTGCGGCACCCGGGTCTCGAACTGCTGAACTACTGACCTTCCACAGCCTGCAGTTCAGCGTCTTAACCACTTGAGCCACCGCAGCTCCAAAGGAAGCTTACTCGCCATTATTAAACTTCAAACTGAGAAAACTTTCATAAGCTTCTGAGGAATCCAGACTTCCTTAGAGTATAGTCTTAAATCTACTTTTTTGACACCCCAAGAGAATCCTGCTAAATATTGCTGCAGGTGCTTTCTGCCTCCTGTCATCCAGAATTTTTTTTCTTGAAGGAGAGTGTACATGGAAAAAAAGACAGGGTCAAAAGAAAACAAGCCATTGCCACAGAAAGCATCCTCCCCTTCCCCACTGCCTCCACCACCAGCACAGACTGCATGGAATTCTTTCCCTGCTTGAAATGGTCCCCATTCCATTGTGTCTTCCTCCTTACCTTTGCATAAATAATAAGATCCCACAAAATTGGTCTTGGTTGGGCGTGCCCGGATTCTCTTCCAGGTTTTATCTTCTGAGTTACGGCGTCTGCCCAGGAGTATGTCCCGCTTGCACTTGTGTTCCAGACCCTCTCGATAGGTATAATCGCCAGCCTTGGGTCCTACAAAGGGAGGACAAAATTAACAGCCGCCCAAGTTTGCCAGTAAAATTAGGGCCAAGTCACCATGATCAGATAACCTGTTTTAGGATAGCAGAGCTGACAGGCTTGTTTAAAGATGTGAGTGGATGCCAGTGGGTTCTTCACAAGCAGGGCTGTGTTCAACATCATTGATTCAGGCTGAGACATCAGCAGCTCTACCACTTTGGGTACTGCTGTGTGACTTGGCCCACTGTGGTTGGCCTGAGGAGAGAACAAAAATAATTCCATTTTAAACCTAGCAGATCTCTAGACAGGCACTTCCCCTACGGTTCTTTCGGTCCCCATCTAACAGGACAGCTGCCAACTAGGAGCAAGGAGCTTAAGAAATGCTTCGTTTTCAGTGATACACGACAGACAGTAAAGGCAGCATTCCATATATTCAACAGGTCAAATGCCTCTCCACTTACAGCAAATTTATCTTTTTCCTTCTGTTGTGTTCACAAATTTATTCAAACAGTGAGCTGTAGACCTAACTGTTCTAAATAAAGTCACTACCAAAGTTGAATTTGCATGTGAGAAAGAGCAAGATAAAAAAAATAAGCCAGTCCATATTTCAGAAAAATAATTAAAACCCTCTGAAGTGAAGACTCTACATGGAAGAAAGAGTACCAGAACTTCTACAGGGAGAAGTCTCAAAGGTATGGGAACAATGTGAAGTCAGTTGAAAATACAGTCCACTGAGTGCTCCAACTAACTCTAAGCCAGGAGCAAAGAAGAGTTGGCTAGATGCTGTATTTATTGTGCCACTTCAGCAGAATAGGTTGGATGATACAAAAATACTCATGCATGGGCAGCACAACATACTAACTGAAGACCCCCTCTCAAATCGCAGGTAGTTAACTGACTCACCACAACTGGAGGCTTCTGGATACTAGCAGGCTGCCGTGGCTCTTGGGTGTTGGTTTCCTCTAATCAGAGGGAGAAAACACAAGGAGAAATACTAAGCTAATTTTCAGATACGAAACCCTAGTGCCGGCAGTAGGAGCATTATCATACACAAAAACATAAAGAAGCTCTAGCAAACCAGTCCTCTTCAGCACCCACAGTAAATACTTAAAAAAAAAACCAAATAAATATTTTCAAAAATAAAAACAATCACTGTGGTAGTTTTAACAGGGTCCATTAATGTCAATGCAGAATTTTTCAGTGCATTGCGCCCATGGACTTTATTTTAAATTACTTCATAGGCAGGATTTCCTTGGGGGGGGGGGGGGTGATCTAGTCCACTAGGTCCCATTGTTAGAAGAGGATTTTCTGACACAGAACCTCCCAAATCATCCTGAAACCTCTTCAGTTCCTTCAGTGTTAATGTTCTTAGTCCAATCCTATTACTCATTCACTGTAGTGTTCATCTCCAGTTCTTCACAATCTTTCATCCAAAGACCATGAATGAAATAACCTACTACTACATCAACAATGTAATAGTTGACTCTCACGCATGTTTACAAACTAAAACAGACAATAAAGGGTTTGGGAAAGAGACCAGGGACTAACAGATGTGCCGAGAGGGAAAGGAAGAGAGAGAGTCAGATGGCAGTAAAGAATCTCCTAGAGCCAAACACAGAATTTTGGTGTGGTGTTACTCTTCCTGCATCACAAAGGAATAGGATTCCCATACCCTGTAGACTTACCAACGGCAAAGGAATCCAGCGCATCCAGTGATCCCCTGCTAGTTCCAAAAGCATCCAGGACATCGAGCCGAGACTCTGTGTATGGGAGAAGATCTAGTGAATCCAGTGAGTCCAATGGGGAGCTGCCATCACCACCCACTGGGGGTTCAAAAGCATCGAGAACAGATGAGGAGGAGAGCTGTTTTGTGGCATCCATCACCAGGCCAAAGGAAGCTGGAGGGAGTGGTGTGGAGACTGGAATGTTGGCTGTCACCACAGGGGGGAGCAGTGGAGTACCGCCCGGAAAGACGGGGATTAGCTGTGGCATCTCACTAGGCAGGTTGGCAGGGATGGCACCTTGGACCAGAGACTTTAACATGAAAGATTAAAAAAACATGTTCCAGTTAGAGTAGAGAAATAAAACATGGCAGACAGATTAAAACAGCACTACGAAATTGGAGTCTAAAGACTAGATTACACAGTTTCCCTATTTTTGTTTATGTTATTTATACTCCACCTTTCTCACTCAGACTCAAGGCAGGATTGCACAGAGTAAAGTCAATATAATCAATGGATGACAGCAATACCAACTTGCAGATGGATGCATGCATGCGCATGGACACACACATGCATGCAGGAGCACAAAACCTTCCTCTCATTATGTTACAAGATTACATTGTCAATAATGATCGACTATAGTTAAGTCTACGTTTCGGGACAAGTCAAGACACAGGTAGAATAATTATCTAGGGAGAAAACAGGCAGGGGACAGGTAAACAGAACCAATGGGTTACAGAAGAGGGTTCAGGGAGATCAAGGCAGAGCAAGACAAATTAATGGCACTGAGCTGCTAACTAACCTGTCAGCAGCCTCTTCCTGCTTGTTTTTATAGGAATTGTTAAGAGGCCAGAGCAGGGAAGCAAATGTGAGCCTACACTCCAAGCAAGGAAGGGCTTAGGAGGAGTGTGAACATATGAAGTCACTTAATATCAGTCAAGAAGACTAGTACTGTCCATCCACTTGGTCTCTATCAGCAACTCTCCAAGATCTCAGGCAGAAGCCTCTCTATTCACAAGAATCTCCAGTGAAGGTGCCAAGGACTGAATCTAGGTCTTTCTGTCACTCAGCTATGAAAATCCCAATTCCTAAAATGAGAATCCCTCTTAACTGGGATTCGAAAAAGAGGGAACCTTGCTCAGCTTTAACCACACTAGTGCCTATGTAACATGCAACCTGATGGAGTGCAATTTGTTCTCTAAAAGGCAAGATCTGGGGAGATGAAGCATATGATTCTGCAGCCCACTTCCACATGCTTAACTATAGTTAGTCAACTGTGGTCATTACATCTGCACAAGCCTTTCATTTATTTTTAAAAAATTATACCCCTACTTTCTGCCCTCATCAGAGCCACCAAGTTGGCTAACACATCAAAAACATACACAATAACAACACATCTTAAAAACCTTTACAACCAAATAAAACATATTATTAAAACAATTAAGTTGAGATACACACACAATACAGTACATATACATGAAAGTAACATTTGAAGAAATAAACAGTGCCACATGGCATTGCGTATTCCTTTAACTCTTGAGTTCATGAACCAATGTGGATCCTTTCTGAAATTTATGAATCCAAAACTGAAACGAAAAACAACATATACCCAGAACCCTCTTTTGCCAAAGAAGAGAAGATTATAAGTAGTATGAGAAGAGCCTAAAGTAGTAACTGAGAGCAGAGGACAGACAGATCTAGGAAATCTACTCTTACTAGTGGGTACTGCGACCCCTCTGCAATAGAATCCAGGATTGAGTCCAACTCATCCCCAAGAACTCCTCCTTCAGTGAAGTCATCCACACTGTCAGAGCCTGTCATAGACACAGTGTCTGTAGAAGGGAGCAGGGTAGCAGCAGGGAGTGAAGTTGAGGGGCCTTTTGTTTCCAAGTCAGAAGATGAAAAGGCAGAGCCCTCGCTCACAGGGACACAAGTGGCATTCGGAGTGCTGACATACTGAAGACCCACGGAGCCGTCTGCAAAGTGAAGAAACGGATCACCGCTCAGTGAGGACACATGCACAATCCAATCAAGTGACAAAAAACAGAACTCAAGAGCTGTGGTCTTCAAAGTGTCTCTGTCAGCTTCAAAATGCAACTGCAGTGTGTATTTTGGGAACAAATGTGCCCATGCAGTGGATTCTGTCACCACAGTTTACATGCACAAGGAGCTTCATCCTGCACTGGTTCTTCTGCACATCCACACAAATGAGGGGCACAACTGAAGAAGGACCAGCACCATCCCGAAGCTGGAACGAGACCCCAGAAGAAAAGGAACTCCAACACCTTTGCTCAGGACTACTGTTTGCCATTGTAGCCATGTGCTTTAGTGACACAGTAAGCGCATAACCAGCTTTTTTGCCGGTTACATCCTGTAGCTTTCCCAAAGTCAAAGCTGCTCAAGTCATCAAGGGGAACAAAAATGATCACAAACATAAAACTGTCACCTGTTTCAATGTCATCTACAGAACCCAAGCCATTGGAAACATTCTGTGGGGAGGAAGAAAAGATTACAGTCAATTCCATTTTGAAAAGATCTGGCACCTCCTAACGTTCCACCTGCTTCTATGATTTTCTCAAAAAGTTAATTCAGTTTTGTTTTACTTTAACAGAACAACCAGTTGCCTGGCTCTTGCATTAGTAGGCAAGTTTACTAATGGAACAGGGCTCCTACATCTTCAATAGCTGCACATTTTGGCAGTACCATGACTACTGTGCTTACCCCTTTTGCCACCTATTCTCCCCTTTGCCTATCTATTGAAAGAGTTTACCTCTATCCTGTCTTCAAGCCAGCAAATCATACTAATGGCCTATCTTCATAGAAAACTATTTGAAGCACGCACACAAGTAACTTTAGAATTACACTGCAACAAAAATGATTTTTTCAAGTCATTGGTTTTCACCAAAAGCAAAGGATTTTTTTTTAATGGTCACAATTTAATTTTAAAACTAACGCATAAATGCAAAGAAACAGAAGAAGTAAACATTAAGATAAGGCAATGTTTATTTCCTTCTTGACCAAAATAAGAACACTCTGGACAGAGATGTGAAAGCCCAGAAATCTGCTCCCAGACTTTTTTACAAACAGAAAAACTGTAAATTTTGGAAGAGAAAAAAAAAATCCTGTGAAATATTTTCTCTTTGGGAATGAGAAAAGTACTCCTTAAAATGTGGTGTGACTCACTCAAAATGCATAATAAGCAGATTTTTATGTACAGCAATCTACAGCATTAGATAATGACAAGTGGGGGACCCAAGGGACATGCAGGAAGGGGGGGGGATCCCATCTCCCCTGCTTTCCTTGACTGCTGAGAAGGCCACTTGCTGGGCAGCCTGTTCATTTGCAGCGCCACCACCTCCATTTGCAGCACTGATGACACAGTAGCAGTTCCTGCTCCCACATCACCTACCTACCACACCACTACAAGTGCCTGCACATGACAGACTCATGCAGTGGACCCTGCTCCTCCTTCTCCTTGCATGCCTGTCATGGCAGCAGTGGAGGGGGGCAGGGAGTGGTCGGTAGCTCCCATGCCATGGCAGCTGCTCCTCCGTTCTTTAAAATGGTGTCCAAGTTCTCACAACATAGCATCACATAATCTCAGTCATATAAGAAAACATTTAATTTGTTTCCAGATTTTTCTGCAAACTTTAGGTAACCCCAGGTCTGTAGCAAAGTGTCTGGTCCCATTAAGCAGGTTTTGCCAAAAAGGCGGAATACAATCAATTAATTTCCTTTCTTCTTAGCATCAGAATACACATAAGAAAATCATGAATGAAAGCTAGAAATTGATGCAGAAAAGTCCCAAAATAGCTAAAATAGTCATAACTGAATGCTTCTTAGCTTAGTCATTATCAGCTTTGGCTACTGGTTTGAATAAGATTTAGGCATGACTAAGAATCTGGATTGGGGCCCTGTTCTTTGGGGACTGGTATCTCACCGTAGGGAGAAAGTCCATTATACTAATCAAGCTTTATGATTCTAGCCATACTCCATATATAACATGAATTCTCTTGCCCAAGACATACAACCAGAGCTAATGGCTTGGATCCTATGCAGCACAAGCAGACCTGCACTGCATAAATAGGGACTTCCCTGAATATCCTTTTATATTCATGTTTCCTGCAATGAAAATTTGTAAGAGATGAAAAGGTTACTAAGAAAATCAAGTTTTAATGTTTTAAAAGCTGTATCAATGGACATTTGTTATACATTAAGGCTAATAATCTGTGCATGCTCATTTCATGCGGTACTTTGCTTGCATCAGATTACATGGCACTAGAAATTTAGTTTCATTTTAAAACCAGAAATTTTTCAGTGCATTAACATTCATACATACAATATATAGGCTTCAAGCCAAGTTCTATTAAGTAATTCAAGCTATATATACACTCATCACAAGTGTTCTCATTTTTAAACTATGACATCAGAAATTACATCAGAAGATTTTTGTCTTTAATTTTAATAATCTACTATTCAACTAATGTATACTTTTACATTCATTATTAAAAAGACAGAAAGTACACTTTCAAAACTCTGCCTACAATGTTATGTCAGTCCTCTAAGCCTTGAGGGATCTGAAGAGAACAGGAGAGAAAAATCCCTCTCATATGGCAACAGAACACTGGCAAACAATATTTAGGCTACTCAGATGTTTGGATTAAGCGATGCTGGGAAGGCCATATCCCAAGTTACTTCTAAAAGGAAAACAGCTTAGAATCCTTGTCCAAAAATCCGACTGCAATACATTAAAACAATATTTTAAGCTCGCCCTGACCTGGATAGCCCAGGTAAACCCAATCTCGTCAGATCTCAGAAGCTAAGCAGGGTCGACTCTGGCAAGTAATTGGATGGGAGACCTCCTTGAAATACTGGAGGCGGGAGGTGGGGGCAGGCTTTTTCCAGCCACCTCTCTGAATATTCTCCAGGCCCCCAATAGGGTCAGTCACATGACTTCCAGGTGCACACATAGTCACACACATGCACCAATTTAAAAAATACAAAAAAAACCCACAACATTTTAAGCTCAACCACACAGTAATTCACATTCATATTAAATAATTTTCAGCTTCTAAAAAGTAGTTATTTGCACTTAGGAAATGCACCTAGCTATCGTCTTTGCACATGCCTACCTGATTTGGTAATGTGGAGGACATGCCATTACTGAGTAGAGAAAATGTTTCCAATTCCTGCTACAAGGAAGAGAGATAAAGTAGCAGACACTTAACAGAACAGTGAGCCATGAGAAAATTCCCACACACAGTCACTTCCTTGTAAGAAATAGCAGGCAACATAAAAAATAGCCTTGTTTCTGGTGGCCATGGGGGACATGGCAACCCTACTTTACATGCACATGTATATACCTAGCGTTCAGTCTAGGAACTGCAGCCATCTCTAGCTTCTCAGTTATACATGCAGCACAAGATATGCAAGAGTCAAACATGACAGTCTAATTTAAGAATTTCACCCGTTTTGAAGTAATTCGTGCATCACTAACGAACCTGAATCCAGTTATTAGTAAACGCAACCTATTCGCCCCACTCCCACCTCACTTTATGAATACCTAATAATCAACACAAAATAAATGTATCAACATCATAGTACATCAAACAGTATAGTGCAGTACAAATTACCAAAATGAAGTATGGTTACATACCCTTATATATCTATAGTATATCAACTGTGAGTTTAATAGAAAGCATCCTATAAGACTGAAAATAATTTCTGTAAAATGTATCATCTTTCAAATGAACAGTACAGTTTCTAATCCTATTCTGTTACAACCATATGCAACATACTCACTCAGGAGCACAGGAGGACTCCACTGAGAACCATCATCATGTACTGGCTAGAGCAAACCTATTTACCTGAAATCCACTTCCAGATACAAACCACCAGCCATGTATGGTGCACCATCAAAAGCCCAATGAACTTCCTGCTTTTGGTGCCTATCTAGGACTGCAAAAACAGCCTGGATTATCAAGCATTTGGCAGGACCACACGGCTAGCAAGCTATTTCAGGTTGGTGGATCATGTGTTATATAAAGGCCTTGGATAGTGAAACCCAAGTTCAAATCCCTGTTCAACCATGATATTCACCAAGGGGGCCTTGGGCAAGTATTTGACCTCTCAGTGTAATCTGTCCTACTGGAGTGCTGCAACAATAAAATGTCATAACCCTGTGTAGGCTCCCCTGAGCTAACCAGAAGTACAAATGCCATACCTGAGGCCTCTTGTATGCTTTACGGACTCTTAATCCCAGTTTCTGTGCAAGTTCCTGGCCAAGTTGTGCCACACTTTCATCCTTTAAAAGTAGAACACTATTAATGACATTTTCTTCTGCAAAGACAGTATCTCATTTGACTCTTTACATATAGTATAGTTTCAGGTACAGTGGTAAGCCTCTCTTATTCTTGATTGGCAATGGAAAAGAACAGAAGTCTTTGCGATGAAAAGAATATGAGGAAAGCAAATCAAAACTTTTGATGCAACATCCTAGTTCCTCTGATCACAAGTAAATGATGCTTGGAATGTTTAGCAAACGCTCACTGCAAGTTGCCTAGCACACTTCAAAATGGCTACTGAGATCTCACAACATAGTCTCATGAGATCTTACACACTTCTCTTAAAGAAGCAGATAATGTCTCCATGGTTTTGGGTTTCTTCTAACCTCCAGTGCAGTTTAAACCTAAACTACAACTTACATGTGGGAGGGAGAGCAAACAACAGCTGTTACACTCATATGCTTCCTTGTGCCTCCCTAGCTCATTCAAGCAGCGGGCTTTCCGAAACAGAGCACGGATATTCTCCTTGTTAAATCCCAAAGCCTTGTCACAGTCTTCCAAAGCCTTCTCATACAGGCCCTTTAAGGAGGGAAAAAAGAGACCAAATAATATGTTGCTTGCACAGTTCTTCAGAGGGGGGGGCAAAGGAGAGGGAGAGAGAGAGAGAGAGAGAGAGAGAGAGAGAGAGAGAGAGAGAGAGAGAGAGAGAGAGAGAGAGAGAGAGAGAGAGAGAGAGAGAGAGAGAGAGAGAGAG